AAAAAATAAATAAACCAAGTTATAATTTTATAAGTGTTTTCCTAGCACTGAGAGTCAAGTCTATATGAATGTGGTCAACTTACAGTTTTGGAAACTGGAATACAGAACAAAATTAATTGAAGTGGAGAATGTGGCTTTTCTCTATACTCTTGTTTTCCCTTAGTCTGAGTTGGCCTACTTGTGTTATAAACCAAATTATTGGTACCATTTCTCTGACTGTCATCTTTGTCCTTATAGTTCTCCAATTCCATCTTCCATATTTCAATCTTTTCTAGTAATATTGAGAGTCAACATCACCTTGTAGGGTATGAGTACATTTAAGATGCCAGTTCAGAATATTTAATGACTTACAACATTAACATCCGTGACTTATAACTTTATTAAATTATGGAAAATACCTTTAAAATGAGCTTAGCTCCTGGAAATTTCCATTCACTTATAACTAGCTTCCACATTCAGTTTAAGAGGAAAACATTATGAAAAACTTTTTCAGCAGATGCTGATGCCTTGGAAATGAAAATAAATAAATAAAAAATAAAAAAATAAAAACAGGAGAGAGAAAAAAGAAACAGGTTTGTTTGGCGTGAAACACAGACTATAAATTGGTAGCCTCAGCCTGTGCCACACGTGTTACACAAATATCCTGTAACTGAGGAAGGTCCTTTAGAAACAATGTGAATTGTTTTGCTGTCATCAGGCTGCCCTGGTTTAAAATACCTGTTCATTTCCATTATGGAGATAAACGACTGATTTTTCTCCATCAAGTTGCAAGGGACAGTTGTAATTTATTCCTTTTATTTCAGTACTTTTTCTCATATAAGACAAGTTGTTGAAGAACCGAATGGATGTTTCTCTTCAGGCCTTTCAACTTTTCCCCCCTCAAGTGCTAAAAGCTTGAGGCACTTGCAGATGAAATGGAAGAATATTAGCAATTTTATGACAAATTTCAGTTATACTAAAGCAAATCAAGATGCTGAATAATTCCATTCAACCCCTGTGACTTGATCATGGTCTGATTTCATTGACCTTGAAAAGGCTAACAATCTTCTTAGGAAAATAGCTGATGCCTCTTGGTTACTCTTGGCAATCAGAACCGTTTGCCTAAGGGAAAAATGCAAGTCGTGAGGCTATACCTTTTCTTTCCCTCCTTACCCTTTCTTTGTCACATTGGAATAATTGAAAGACTAACCTGCAGGTTGAAGGTATAATGTTTATTTAAGATCCTTTGGCAACCCTAAGCAGAATCTAGGGTGGGGTGGGGTGGGCAGCCCTACCTGTATAAAGGTCCTTTGAAGGTGTGATTTCCCTGAGTAAGATAGTTTTAGGAGATCTGTCTCCAATTTGCTTAGAATAGCAAATATGCAGTAAATTTGAATTGAATGTCTTTTTTCTTTTCACCTAATCCATCATTTTATTGTCTGAAAGCTGGGTTAGCAGCCAAGGTTCTTTTTTCTTTTTCTTTTTTTTAAATGTTGTGATAGAATTTCCTGTGATGAGATTAAATTACCTACTGAGAAGTAGTTGTCCAGGCTAAAGCACCAGAAAGAATGGTATTGAAGATCTCCTGAAGAGAGCTCCGAACCCACAATCCACCACAGAGGGAATTCGGAGAGATCAACGTGATCCCTCTTTGTGAAGTACTTCCTGCCAGTCCATCATTATGTCATTTTTAGGTCAATACTTTTTTCAAATGAGTATCCTCAGCACCCCTGAAATACTTATTATTATGGAAACTTAGAGACTATATAAGAAAAATGAGAGCGATCTTTGCACAGGGAGTTTATTTTCGTATGAAACTAGGGAGTTTGTATTTTTTTAAAGGAGGTAATTTGACCCCTGTCTATGTCTTGACCCTCCTGACCGCCATTCGTCCCATGTGACTTAAGTTACTGGAAAGGATACTGACCTTAGAATGTATCGTACAAGCTTTTCTGGCAGATCTTTGAGCTGGTCTGCCTACTTTTGGAGCACAAATGGCAATGGTTATTGTTGTTTTGTTTTGTTCTTTGCCTCAAGAATATATGGCGTGCCGCCATCTTCCATCTTCTTTGGATGTCCTGATCATTATCTTTATGTTCTATTGGGTCAATGGAAGAATTGCTCTTTCTAAGCCCCTTGCCTTTGTCGCTGATGAAAACAATAGAGCAGTTCCTAAGCCAATCATGTCTTATTACTGTCTTATTGAAAAACTCTCTCACAAAACGAGTTGGTAAAGCTGGCCAGCAAAATTCCAAAAATAGCTCTGGCAACGGGAGGACAGTAAAAGATTGTTGGGTCTAAAAGGAAGAATCAAATGTTGCTCACCGATTTTGAACACTACCTGAAGAGCAGATGAAGGGTCCTCTTTCAGTTTTTCTGAAACTGTGTTGTAATGACAATATGGTTTTGTGTGTCTGTGTGGTTTTGTTTTTGTTCTGTTTTCGACTTCACAGGAAGAGGTTTAAACATGAAGGCAAACCTTTTAGATGTCAGCATGGCTACCTACAAAGCAAAGCTGCCTTTTTCTTTTCTTTTCTCTGCTTCCATTTAGGCCTGTCACATACTTTAAGAAAACAAATAAAAATTTAACCACAGGAGCGCTAACTATAGTGTGAAAAAAAAAAACCCTGATCGATTTTGTTTTCGCAGCACGATAATATCAAAGATTTAAGAAACCATTTTGCCAGCATCGGCGAGAACTCTCTGGTAACAGCATAAATGTCTGTGTCGGTTGCTTTTGGTTTAAAGGTTTCTTTTTTTTTCATTTGTTTGAGCCCATTTCTTTCCCCCCTCCTCCTTTTAGTTCACTTTATTTTTCATATTCTGTAACTAGCAAGCCTTCATTTTTTAAACCTCTTCCATCTTCCAGTGTCTATTTTCCGTACTTTGGATGGAAAGTTTATGGCGGCAAAGCTGTCACTCTGGCTACTTCTGCTGCAGCTCTTCCTGCTCTGAGGTCATATATGTTTTTGGCCGTTGTGTTTATGGACATGATACTAATTGACCGTTTCATGTCCCATTGACTAAGCTTCTCTACCACGCCATTTGATGGACTCGCTGTCATAGGGCTCTATGCAACTTGCATTCTGCAACTTATACTGCTTAGTTCCGTCTCAATTCTCCAGCGAACTGGACAGCTCAAGTGAATGATCCTATCAGTCTTGAACTCGCTGTGCCTTTATATTTTCCTTTTATTTTCTTCTTTATGTTTTCAGTGGTAGTTTGAGTGGAAAAGAACAAACTCCAGCCATTGCTCCAGCAGCGCCATGCAGTATTGTTTGTTACCGCCAGAGAATACAAAATATAAAGGCACATTGCTTCTTTTATCCTTTGGGGAACACGGGGGAGATCTGTATCATAAGTCCACTACTTAGTTGAAGCCTACTTTTTTTATCCATATCAGCTTTCAATTTTGCTTAAACTCCAACACGTCTCAGTTAACATTTTTCTGCCATTCAGTGATAACTTCAACTCGAGCCATTTGCTGAGCAGTATCAAGTTATGGCCATGACACGGGAGATTATTAAAAATGTGGCAAACTTATGCACAAATGTATGATTGAGAAAGTGCAAGTTTCAATGATCAAGTACAGACTTCAAAACTTGATACAGGCTTTGGACGAATCAAATAATTAAAATTGAGAAAAATCCATCCTGATAAACCAGTTGAAACAAAACCAAGAGTTGACTATGTTAACGTCTGTATAATAACATCGTTGGTGTTGAAATGGTCCATAATGTTGTCATAGAGCCCATACATGAAGAGATGACTAAAACTATGGTATATAGAAAGCTACTCTGCTTACTGATCACCACAACATAAATGGTTGGGATTTGTGTTCAGGAAAAAGAAATGGAGAAGCAAAAGCTTCTGTACCAACAAGCCAGGCTGCATGACCGTGGAGCTGCTGAGATGGTGCTGCAGACCATCAGTGCCAGCAAAGGTGAGCCCACGCCACCTCGGGAGTGGTTCGTAGACTTCCTGTTTCTGCTCTAGGAGTTCACTTAGATCAGTTCTACTGACCCGTTCAGTCCTGGAAGTTCTGGTGCATGACTCAGTCAGGTGACTTAACAGATGGGAGCTCTCCTTTACTGAGTACAACCTTGACTCTTTTTTCAGAGTCTTATTTAAAGATTTATTTTACTTCTGTTCATGAAGTTTTGGAAATGCTGTTGTGACACAACTCTAGCAAGCTGATCAGATAAATTAGGGATAGACAAATGTTTCCTATGAAAGGCCAGAAAGTAAATATTTTCAGCTTTGTGGCTATGCAGTCTCTGTCACAGAAACATGAAAGCAGCTAGAGACAGCATGTAAGCAAATGGCGTGGTTGTGTTCCAATAAAACTTTATTTACAAAAACTGATAACGAGCTGAACTTGACCCTCAGGCCACACTTTGCAGACACTTGATGTAAGTGTGTAGACTTTTAAAGTGAATCCTTTTTAAGAATTAAAGTAGTATTATATTTTTAGTAGCCAGCCATTTCTGGATGATTTTTCTTACATTAGTAATATTTTCTCTTTAAAAATATTTTTACTACAATGTCTAATGTAATGGAAAAGTAATGGTGGTACAGTCTGTTATTAAGCACTCCTCTCACAAATATGGAGATTAATTATATTTCTAAGATAAGTACAGGGGAATAACATTCAATTAAATATAACATACCAAATGGTTGTCAACTATAGTTGGATTTAAAATCTTATCATTAGTACTTGGATAACTTAAAATTGTAACTAGTCATCTTGATAAAGTCATCATAAAATAAAGTATTATTTCAATATACATGATTAGCTTTGAATTTTAATATTTTAGGTTTCAGTATTTCAAAATCAATTATTTCTTCCTGATTTTTCCTATGTCCTCGTATAGTTTCAATTTTTGTCAGAAATTGGGAAAAACATTAATGGCAAAATATGCATTCTTACTCTTTTAATATGTTTTGGCATATAAGTCATTATAAAGTCATTACAAGTCATTTTATTTGTCCCCCTTCATCATTATAAAGATTTGTAAGGATTAATGATAATTTAAAAGTGCATATTTTGAGGTAGAATAGGTTAATGTAACAGGTGAAATGATGTAAGAAACACTATTTTTTATATTTTTAAGGTGAAACTGGACCAATGGTAGCTGCTACTTTGAAACTTGGAATTGCTATCTTAAACGGTGGGAACTCCACAGTACAACAGGTAACATCTTTAAGCGACTCACTTTTCAAACAATGGACTGTATAGTCCTCCTACTGAACTACTTTAGTCACCCTAAAAGCACTATTAATTATACAAGTTTTAATTTCTATGTAAAATATGTCTTTATTTTGTGGTCGTCTTGTCCCAGCATCCAAATATCTTCCAGGTAGTACACTAAACATCCCAACGTGGGAACTCACTCTCTTTAGAATCTGAAGCCCTGCCATGAAATTTCCTCATTTGAAATGCTGCGTTTCACGTGACTAAGTCCCCATTGACCAGCTGGCTTGTCTCATAGTGAAAAATTAATGTTCTTACCAAGCATCTCATTAAATAAAAAATTGTATACTAATTGAAAACAGCAACAAAGCATAATGTAAGTAACATGTTTTGTCATGATAGAGCTCCTATAAATTGATTCTCAGGATTTGGTTGTATGTTTGGTGTGAAGCCTGCTCCCAGGTAACATGGAGGCAGAATGCACTGTTAAAAATTATTTTAGTTCTAATTCTTTCTGGTCTCCCAAGACAGGAGAAGGATCACTTCCCAAACAAGCTTTGACTATGTTCTATTTAAAAGTGAGACATGACCTGGGCTGGGATTTTAGTAGCTTCAGCCAGTTGTGACAAAGGATGCCATCTCCGGAAAGCCAAGTATGTGAGTTTGTTAAAATGAGACTATTCAAATGACTTAAAAAACAACAACTGTTAGAAACAGACTCTCCCCATTTATGGGCTGCACCCCTCTGGAGACACTATTCACACAACCTACAGTGAAGTCAGAAATTCAGAAAAAAATCATATGCTTATTGAAAAACAGCAACAAAACATAATTTAAGTAGCAGATGGTGTTATTTTAAAGTTAAAATCTACCTCTTATTTTTATATTTTGGCTTCTGTATGAGAAAGGACAGTTTATGAACATGGAACTAATAAGCATTCTTTCCTGGGTAAGTTTTTACAAGACTGGTAAAGGACTACCCCAATAGATGGAAAGGAAGGCTAATGTAGCCCTTAGGATGTCTGACTTCAAGTTGCAGTGACCTCAGAATCACTACCGTGGGACAAAGACATAAACATGTTCCTGGGAGCTCTCTGAGCCTAAGAAAAGCAAAGCAGAGAAAATTCGAAGGTTGCTTTGGGCTGATAAAGTTTGGACTAGGTTAAGTACAACCCGGAAAGCTGAAAAACTCATCTGTACATTTTTCTCAAATTTTGTACTTTTTTTCTATAAATATAATCATTGCATTGTAGGAATGGAAGAGAACATAGACATAATCTAAGCCAGGGTTCTTAGCTTTTTCTTTTTTTTCTTAATTAAAATATATTGCGGTGACAATGGTCAACAAAACATAGGTTTCAAGTGTACAATTCTATAGCATATCATCTATATATTGCATTATGTGTTCACCTCTCAGAGTCAGTTCTCCTTCCATCACTGTATATTTGATCCCCTTTACCCTCTTCTACTATCCCTCTCCTCCCCCCTTACCCTCTGGTAACCACTAGTCTATTTTCTGTGTCTTTGAGTTTTTCTTTCTGTATTTGTTTGTCTTGTTCCTTTGTTGCTTGCAGTTTTATATCCCACATATGAGTGAAGTCATATGGTTCTTGACTGTTTCTGTCTGACTTATTTCACTTAGCGTAATAATATCAAGATCCATCCACGTTGTCACAAATGGCACTATTTCATTTTTTCTTATGGCAGAGTAGTATTCCATTGTGTATACATAACACATTTTCTTCATCCAGTCACCTATCAACAGACACTTTGGTTGTTTCCATGTCTTAGCTGCCATAAATACTGCTGCAGTGAACATCAGAGCACATATACTTTTATGGATAAATATTTTCAGATTTTTTAGCAGTTTAGTGAGGCCTCTGGACTCCTCTTAGATAATGTCACTGTACCGTTACTGTAATGTTAAAGTAATGTTATACCACACAAAGCAAATATATCGACATGTGGTTATGAAAATATTATAAAACAGGTTTTGATAAAGTATTATGTGTTTCTTTTAAGAGCTCATTAAATAAAAGATCTAGTCCTTGGTCTAATAATTGAGAAGAAATGGCTAGACGAAATATTTTTAAATAGTTGCAACAATTGTAATGTGATCTCAAAATACCTGGAATTTCTATTGGCGACAAAATCATAGTAACTACTAAATCCTACTTATGTTGTTGCTTAGGTGAACACAGTTGAAAGGAATGCTAAGTTTCAGTTAGAAGTTAATGAAAATAAAGATGTCTTTTTTCCCATCCAATTTACAGATGTCTTTTTTAAAATTTCCATAATAAATGACTACATAATCTAAAAAAAAAGGAAATATAAAGAAAACCTACCTAATCTTTCCACAATATTTGTCAAAAAATAATTTTCTCTTTATTTATCTAAATTTTCTCTAAATTCCTCTTTCACTTTATTTCAAAAAGACCTTAATTGTATAGTACGTATGTTCAGAAATCCTTGGAGCCAGAAGGAGCCTGGAGAAATCATGTAACGATGTATGTGCTTGCTGTCTACACAGGTCTTTTCTTTTTACTCTAAACTTTCTGATACATATTTTCCACTTTCCTTTTACCCTCATAGGCAATACTCCTTTTGTTTTAAAAGACCAATGATTTAATAAGTGCTTCATGTTTTATTAGACCAAGAAGTTATCACAACCGCCCAAAATGGCTGTGTGTTTTGTGTATCTCTGTGTGTACAAATTTGTGTGTATGCGTGTATATATGCATGGGTAGGTGTGTGTGTGTGTGTGTGTGTGTGTGTGTGTGTGTGTGTGTGTGTGTGTATACCAGGGATGCCAAAATATGTATACACATGACTTGTATTCATCTCTTGTTATCGGTATATATTGGATATTACAATTATAATGCAGTTTTTTCCTTTCTTAAAATGCGTATACATTTTTGACACCCTCTGTATATATTGGGTTGTCTGAAAAGTCATGACCCATTTTTGCAAAGAAAAAATACATCATGACATTTCTGACAGCCCGATATACACACACTATATGTGTGTACGTGTATGCAGTTTTTGCATATTTAGCTTCATATTACCTTTGACTCTGATTTCTGAAAACGGATTACAACCAAAATTTTCACTGCCTCGCTGAGCCCTGTTAGACAGCACTAATAATAGGAATTCTTCTCCTCTATTCAAGATTTGGAGAACAGTACCTTTATTTTCTTAGAAATTTGATGTGCCTTCTATCAACTTTATCATCTTGTGTGTACTTCTTATTTGAAAATCTCCAGCACATTTTATCCACATTCCATATAGCTATTTCAGTTCCATTTTGGCATGTAGCCGTAAGCTAACAATGTTGTTTTGCTTTGTTTTGTTTAGTTTACATTTATGTTTAACCAAAACTTTGACCCCAGAATCTGACATCATTCTGAGAACAGACAAAGGAGAAATTTAATAGTCAAAACGATTCCTACCATCCCTTGGTTTCGACACTGTGGTAACAGAAGTGGAATTTCTGTCTGTAGCATAAGCACGTGGTAGTCACGACTCTTGGACTGTAGTACTATTTAAGAAACTCACTTTGGGATGGAAATCAGTGACTAGCATTCAGAATGGACTGTCTCCCCACTAACCTTGGAAGTACCCGAACTTCCAGATGCTTTGTGATGAGAAGAGAACTGAAACGTCTTCCCCCTGATATTTATGATGCTTCTGCTGTTTGTGTAAAGCAGGGCCTTTCTTCCAAGCCAGGTAGACTCGTGCCACTATCTCGCTGTGACATGCTCCTCACTAGTCCATGGACAAGATGACATCAGTAATATCTGTGTGCACTGTGTATTATTTTATCTTTATTCCAGAAGAGAGAGCATGTTTGTGTTGTTTCTTTGCTTATTGAACCAAACACATGCGAATGGTGCTCAGTGGCCATGTGGTTTCCGTATTTCCCATAGAAAATGCTCGACTACCTCAAGGAGAAGAAGGACGTGGGCTTCTTCCAGAGCCTGGCGGGCCTGATGCAGTCCTGCAGGTGAGCACGCGCCTTCTCAGGTCGCTTCCCAATGCTGGTATCGTTCCAAGTGTTCGTTTTCCATTACGGACAATAACTATACATAGAAGAGCATTCAATGATGATAATGATTTTTGTAATGCAATGATTATAATTTAATTATGATCATTTTTAATGATTACACACTTTAAAGTGGAATGGTAGGTAGTGTCTCATTTTCTCTCTTGTTGTTATGTGCTGGTAATGTCTTACTAACTTTTTCGATGTTAATAATGTGTAAAATGGTCTTCCCAGTGCTTCAATTACTGTGTATGCTGCATACCCTGAAAATGAGTAGTGTCTGAATTTTAAAAGAGAAACAAGAAAATTCTTTTTCGTTTTATTTGGGAACTTGTAGACTATTTCTCATTTTTCTTAAGTAAATGATCCTTAACCAACTAATTTATGATAATTGTTTTCTTCTTTTTAATATTTCTATTTTAGTATTGCTACTTTAGTATTTCTGGTTTAGTATTTATTTAGTATTTCTATTTTGTAGTATTTCTATTTTTTAGTATTTAAAATCATTCAGGCAGCATTTGACTAAGAAATCTGACCCACACTTAATGTAATAAGCTATTCCAACTGGAAGAACATGGTTATTATAATTCTATTTAAGTATGTCTGCCAACTTTGTAATGTACTCCCAACACTGAAGCCCATTAATCCTTATGGTTTGACTTTCATGTGGGCCCTTTCAGCGCAGGCCCTGGGGAGAGACGAGCCTGCTGCTAGAAACATGGCAGGCCTGTTTCCAGTGTGTGTTAACATTTGCTTCACATTTCAACTTATACGTCTTTTAGACATTTGCTCCCCTGAAGGAAGAAAATTTTCTATGAGTTCTCTGATTGTGTCTCTCCGTGTTATTTGCAGTGTCCTCGATCTAAATGCTTTTGAGCGACAAAACAAAGCTGAAGGACTTGGAATGGTGACAGAGGAAGGCTCAGGTATTGATTACTTAAAGTAAAAGGGTCACCTGTCCCCCTTCTTTCCTGAGTTGAGTCAGTTATCAATTACCTTTTCAATCCAGAGAGATAGATACAAGGTTATTTTTAAATGAACACAATGCTTATGTGACTCATTTAAAAATTCATGATTGGACACTCACGCAGGTCACACCCAAACCCAACTTTCCATGGCAGCCATTACCTCCTTTTTGTTGCCGACCTCCTGTTGTGGCCTAATTGGGTGGTAGATAAAGATCCCTTATTAGAGAACTATCTGTAAAATGAGAAAGCACATGGATGAACCAAATTAGAGAACGTTGGCTTGAGCAGTCAGGCTTTCAGATTCTCCTCTCTCCTTAGGATAGCAATGTTTGCAGACCATTCAAATCACCACTATTTCCACTGTCTTCTCCTTTTTAGCACAGTTATCCTTCTGTCTCATGTATCCCAATGTCTTTGCAAGTCCAAATTGTTTGAGAAAAGACATTAAAGAGTAATTTTGTGTTTGAAGAACTCTGATCACATCATTTAAATGGGCACACAACGACTCACATAATCTGAGTTTTTCTCTCTGTAAATAGATGTGGTGTATAAACTAGAAAAATTAGCACAGAGTGTATTTAAAGCAGAAGTAACTATTGCTGCACATTCATTTTAGAATTGATTAAGAAAAATGTCTTCAAATTTGTTTTGTTTGACTTGCTTTTTATTCTTTTGTGTTCAATTTTTAAATTAATTTAGTTTTAGTAAGGCCCTCTGTATTTATCTGTTTTTGTTTGTTTGGTCTGGTTTAGCGTTTTGGATCATTGGGTCTTCTATAAAACTAATCTTGTTCCAAACATAAATTTCTCCCATCTGAGATTTGTAGTCTGCTTGCTTTTCTGAAATAATTTAGAATTAACTGATCTCTTCATTGTATCTGTATATTTTTGTTCTCACAATAGGAAAAGAACTAGTTGCATATTTCTTGCTGTATTTTAGAGATTGTCATTCACACATATTCTAACACTCTGTTACTCTATAGCTCCTATGTGATTTTCTTTTCTGCTTGTCAGTTGATTGTATAGGTTCAGTTATCAAATACTTGTCATACTGTTACTTAATTGTGTTAGCTGCCATCAGGAAAAATCACCAACAGCACTCTGAACCTACCTAGGTTTTCTGGAAATGAGTATCAAGCCAAATCTCTTCGGTTTGAGTCGACATTCACGCCACCTGGCCTGAGGGTCCCATCTGGAGAACTCAGAGGCATTCCATGTCGCAGGCCCATTACCCGCCTGCCTCTACCAAAGTTTGGGGCATTTTCCAGCTACAAAGTGTCTAAAAATGAATGAATTCTCTGTTCAAAGTCTGAATTCCCTGTCTTGGAATTAGAAATCGTTTTCATTTTTCCCAGCAGTCATAACCTGATGGTCCAGAGGCTCTGAATACAATTTCATGAATCATTCTTTGTCACTATTCATATCAGCTCCCACCCAGGTTTAATTTACCAGGTCTCGTATCTGTTGTCAGCCAGACATGGCTCGCAATAACATTTGTGACCCCAAATCACAAGTACTGCGTGAGAGTGACCATTCTGATGTGAAAATTAGTTACATCTCTCCATATGAGATCGGTTTGATTTGTTTATTCTTTTTCAACACACACACACACACACACACACACACACACACACACACACAATTGCCCAAACTGATTAACACATTTACTATTGTGTTTCCTTACAAACAGCCAAACAAAAACAAAATCGCAACTTTTCCTTTCCCTATTCCCTTTTCTTTTGACTACTGTAAATGTACTCTGTCCTTCCTTCCTCAGTCATCACTCATGAGCGTGGTAATTATTAAAAATGAGCTGCCTTTTATTTATTTCTTCCTTGATTTCTTGTGAGCTTTGTGTACAGTCTTGATAGTGATAGTTTTTGTGCATTTTTTCCTTTTTTTAGACCATTTTCACAAGTAGATTATTTCATTTCCACCATTATGCATCCTTTTCATTATTTTTTGAGTTTCTATCCTAAGCTTTCCTTTTTTTTTTTTTCTATGAGGATTTGTAGTCGTTAACATATTAGATATAATGGGGCAACATGCATTTACATTATGTCCTTGGATTTGTTTTTCTCTGTTTCTTTCATTTAAAAACAAATTTCTGGTAGACCCAGCATTTGCGACTGTTGTGAAAATGGATGGATCTCGGATGTGTGCGCCATCTCCCTGTGGCGTCTGTGTCTTGGATGTACCGTGGCTTTATGGCTACAAGCACTGGAGCATGGGAACTGAGTGGGGTTCCGGGGGGGCTTGAGGTGGACCGTCCTCTTGTCCAGTGGGAGCTGCCACTTTCCTTTCAAGTATTGAGAGAGCTACAGTTTTGCTCTATTCCTTTGAAAAAAAATTCACACATTAAAACTTTCTTAACATAAAAGCTCAATTTCATTCTTGAGACTGAATTCAAAGAACAATAGAAACCATTGCAAATATTAACTTTCAAACTCATATAATAACAATGATGACATTGGTATTTCAGATAGTTTCTAAAAGACCTTATATACTCGTACAGTGGAAGTGAAGAAGAGACGAGATTTTTGAGTAGCACTTAGTATGTCAACAACACTTTAGAGATTAAATTGTGTTTTCTGAATACACAGTTGCCTTTTTTAGAGACCTACTAGGAGAACGTGCAACAGCAATTCATTACCTCTGCAAATGTTAACTATTTCCCAGATTAAAAGAACACCTATACTGACACTCTTTTGGCATATTTTAAAAGCTTCTGTTACATGGCCGTTCTTCTGTTTTAAGATTCTACAGGAGTTAAGAAAAGCTTTTACCCTCATAGAAGGAAAGCCAGTTATCCCTCTTGGACTGCACAGAAAAAGCTGAAAAATCTAAACTGTTCATGATGTCGTTGCTTCCAAGTTTGAGGCTCGGGCAGGGTGAGCTCAGCACTGAGGACGTAATCTGACAGATGTACATCTTCATCCTCACCACTGTCTTTATTGGGCTAAATTTCTTCCTGGTGATGATAAAATGACCATAAGTTGTATAGTCCTGGAAAATGTATAACTTAAACGCATGAACTTTTTGATACCCACAACCCTCCAGTGAGGTATGGTCCCATTTTATTGATAAGGAGACTGAGAGCCAGAAAGGTTACATGGCTTGTCCAAGGTCACAGGGGGAAGTGGCAGGACCAAGACTGAAGTGCCGGCATTTTGCCTCCCACTGTTTCATTGACCAATTTCTTGAGCCAAGTCCCTCTCTCCCACCTGTTACAATTCTTCAGGGGCTGATTTTGTGCCCAGCCTGTTGGCTTAGGTAGTAATTTTTGTCCCTTTACCTTTTGTTGCTTGCTCCCTTCAAAGACACCAATCTGTTGCCAATTTTTGCATGTGTTATTGAAGTTTTAGAATCACTTTGACATTTTCTAGGCTGACAAATGATATTTCTAATCTGGTATTGAGATATCATTAGGGAATATGTGTTTCGTTAAGGTTTGTGTCTAAAGATTTCAGACTAATCATTTATATTCCTGTTTCTACTTCTGTTATCATGTAAATTTGCCCATATTCATATGTCTCTTTAACTCAATTTCCCCGATTTCTACAAAAACCTGGACTTCCCACTTGTGGGTTTTTTTGGGATTTTTTCCTTTCAGTTGACATTCAATATTATTTTATATTAATTTCAGATGTACAGCATAGTGGTCAGACATTTATATGATTTATGCAACAATCCCCAGATTAGTTTAAAAAACCGGTTCTTTAGCAAGTGTGTTTGGTACATTTCTAATGTGCTCAGTGTTGCCTTCCCTGTATATTTCTAGTCATGTGTGTTTTCTTTTAACATATAATGATGCTCAAAGCCAAAAACCTACATGAATATTTAAAATGTCATTCCATCTTTGAATATTTATGTTTCTCCTCAGAACCATTTAGACTCCTTACTAAATCATTATGAGCTTGAAAGTGCAAATTTCCTTGTTTCTGTCTCAGAATATAATAGGAGATACTGCATTTTATTTTTTGATCAGTTTGCAGTGGTCCTAGACTTTGTAAGCAAGATGAAACTTGGAAGTTGATCTGATTCCTCAGATATTATTTGATTTTTAAAAATTTATATAAAGCATTAACTAGCAATTAACCTTCCCCAATTTCCATCTGTATCTGATAATGGGTTGCATCGAGGTTCTTACTGATATATTTGTAGGGACCTCATCCAGCTTATGTGAAGTTGAAGCAAAAAGGATTAATTTTCAATTAATCAGTAGGATAATTAAAGCAATCTTTAAGTATTGTCTACCCTAGTTTTTTGATAATATTTTTAGAGCTTATTTATTAGGTATCTCCCAGCCTGGATTTTCAAAGCCCTTCACAAGTGCTGTCCAGTGTGAACACCCAGTCTGACCACACACCTGCCAGTCCCATGGGCAGAGTTTCTCTTCAAGGAGAAAGTGTTGTTGGTTCATGGCACTAAATAGGTTTCCTTAACATCCTTGTGCAGTTTTTAAACTTGGAAGCACATGTATGAATTTCAGTGGCTTTAACATGCTAGACGCTGTCCTAGGCATTGTCCTGGGGAGCTCACTATTGTGTAGACAAGCTTGGAAATAGATAACTTCAAGACAGTGCTCTATAGGCATGAGATGAAGTGTGTAGCTGCCGGGGGTACGGGGAGGTACCACCACAGGAGTAACCTATGGCCCGAAGTAGAAGTTTATCTGGTAAATAAGGGAGGCCAAAAAAGACCTTCCACTGGAAGGGAACAGCATATGCAGAGTTTAAGGGACAAGCCATGTCAGAACACTGACATACCTTGTGTGGCTGAAGAGAAATGAACGGACGAGAGGGTGGGTGGTGGTCTGTGGGAGCCCTGAAGGGCCTGTTGTGCCCTGCTGAGGAATTCGCACTTTCTTTCTGAGGCCATGGAGAGCCATTGAATAAGAAACACATAAGTGATGTCATCCAGGTGCGACGACCCACCTGGAATTAAATTGCTAACATCCGGTGTTAAAAAATGCTTCCGGTAGAATCCACAAACGTTACAGTCTGCAGATTTCTCATTTCACATGAAGTCCATATGCGCACTGGACATGTGGCCTCCAAAGAGAGGGACCAAACTGATTTCCTTCAGGGCCATTGGGGAGCTCTGAGGTTATGCTTAATGACAGATTGTAATGAATTCTTCACAGTATACTATTCATAATCACCATGAAAGAAATCTGTTTATCAGGGGAGTAGTATTGTCGCATTGCTGACAACAGTAGGATGGGGGTCACAGTCTTAGGGCCAGAAGGTCAGTGAGAATCTTGATGAGAATGGATGAAGGACAACCAGGATGTTAATTAGAGCAATGAGAGCTGAAGGGCGATAAGAGGAGGTTATAGGAGAAACAGTCTGCTAATCACATTTGAAAGCAAAGGGATATTTTTCCCCCTATAGCTAACATGTACTTTAATTCTGCTATCCATGGGACACATCTCATTTTTTTCATAGTGGTCATTTTTATTGTCTAGAGGTTTCATATAGGGCTTCTTTTTAATACACTGGCATCAGGTTATTATCTTAATTTAACATCTGCACTTAATGGAATTTATAGATTATTTGTCATATTCATAACCCGCTGAAATGCTCTATTTTAGAAATCTAGGTTTTTTGAACTTAGGACTTCACACCATTGAAACTTCACTTCTATTCCTGTTGTGCTTTGCATATTACAAGGCAGTTGTACTTGTTGGAACCAGTTGGATTCTCCCAACAGCCCCGTAAAGTCAGGTAGTCAGACATTTGTTAACTCCCATGTAAAATGATGAAACAGAGGCTCAGAAAAATGCACGTTCCCAAAGCCTCACCTCTAGAAAATGTTTTCTTTGGGCTTTAGAATGGATGAAAGCAAGTTGGAGTTCACACTTTAACATACTTGCCTGTAGTCAAAGATTGTTAGCCAAACATCGCATCGATTACCGAGGAGACCTTTATGAAGTTTAGAAACTATGGCATAGTAAATTCAGAAAGACCATAGAATTCTGAAATTATCTGTCATTGCCTGTCTCTCCCATTAGACTGCCTTTTTCTCCTCACTAGATACCCAGCATAGAGCATACACTTCATGAATGTTTATTCAAGTTTGCTGGATTCAGACCCTTTCCCAGTTAGTAGCTGTAGCACATCAATCAAGTAACTCAATTTCTCAGTTGTTTACTGAACCACCCAGTGAGACTCATGTCACCTCACTTACAGGATTATTGTAAACCTGAAACGAAATAATGAGAAAATATATCGAGCACAATGCCTGGCACACTCTAGTCACTAAATGTTCATTGTGAATCCATTTAATTTTTTTTATTATTATTTGTGAGTTGAATTGTGATATGGTGTAGGCAGCCACATTTAAGCCATTTATTTAAACCATCACATTAAAAATACCCACAGGGACTCAAATACCTGACTTCACTATTTAAAATATTGTTTGCCTTAATCCTTCATTTTTGCAATTATACAAAATAGACATTGAAGCCCTCTGAAGATCAGTAACCAGAATTATTTCCCCCAAGGCAGTGGGGACTCTTGATTCTATGGGACAAGTGTTTACAGGGAATTTTTTGATGCAGCCAGTTTTGTGGTTTCTGCTACTGAGCCCTTTAACTTTCCATTGCTGGAGATACTGCCATGGAAAGGGAATCTTAGTCTTCTGAAGTTTATTTAGACTAATTCTATTGTTTTCATATATATACTAGGTAGTCTTTTTACTTATTACATTAATTGAATTAAAATTATTGATCATTTTAATATTATTAACAGTTAATAACAATTAAACCAAGATTCAACTGGAGATAAGGCCACAAACTTTGAACCATGACCGTGGATATTCTAAGTAATTAATAAAAACAAAGTTGATTTTATTGAACTCAAGCAAATATTTGTGTACTTTTGTATTAATTGGGTAAAGCCATTGTGAGTAGACAGTGACCTTTAAAAGTGTATTTTTATTAGATCTCTAAAATAGGAGTTAATTTTTACTAGTAGGTTGAATAAGGTCTACCTAATATTATTTCCAAGTGAAAATGTATATTTTTGAGACTGTTTTGGTCCATTAAAATTAAGATGGCTTTTTGAAAATATAAACACATGTACTAAATATGTTTAAATAATTATATTCATCACTAGGCATATTGTTCCTATCTTTACTGAGTGTTACTGCCACTGCTACTAAAACTAACCTTTCCACAATTTGTAAAAATGGTCACATAGATTATGAAAAACCAGTGAGGTGGACAGTACACATTATCCTCATTTTATCGATGAAAAAACTGAGGTACAAAGAACCAACTCAGCATCAGCAACAATATTGAAATAACTCTCATTTTATTACAGTATTAGAAACCATAAGTCCCTTGTGATTAAAAAAGCAGGGAAAAGAATGCTTTTCACAATCTTTACATTTGGCCATCAAGCAGCTATTGCAAATAATATTTTAAGAACGCAAGTGCGCTTTCAACTACATTTTACCCCGTTTCATTCCTTGTTAATCTTAGTTTCCATCTTCCAGTGGAATTTCTTTTGCATCCATCACCAGATGGACTGTTGCTCCTGTAACAGCTTCAGACATAAAGCCGCCATCCATCTCTGTTGCTGTCCCTCCTTCATGCAGCATGGGCAATGGCAGCATTTTAATCAGGTGCCAATGTGTCCACTACGCAGTAGCACTCCTTGATACCTGGTTCACTTGGTGGGAACGGAGCCTTGGCCCTCCCCACTTCCCGATGTACTGCCATTTGTCACCTGTCCTTATGTAAGTGAAGTGACTGGTATGCATATACAGTCAAGAAAATACTGTGTGTGCCAACAGTTGCTAAAATCTTGTGTCATAAATCAGTGTTCGGAGCATTTTTAGGTCCACAGGTAGACAGAGCAATATTTATTTCAATGTTTCCTTTTCTGAATACTTTCAATTAAGGGTTACTCATTTCACATTGAATGCATGAGCATTGAAAGTATGTGGATGGTTTATTGATCCAATTTTCTGGGGGGGGGGAAACATTTTAGATGGGCTCACAAGGAAAGAATCAGTGTATGTAACTAACTGATAATATTTTGATTTAAATATCAATTTGGAGACTTCTGATTAACATAGCACATGAAATGATACTGAGTATCATTGATGAAGAGTTTAGTTTATTAGCTTAGACAGTCCTCCCTTGTTTTCCTCTTCTGTCATGAACGTAAACACTGAGGAATGGGCTTATTGGCCATGTAATGAGATTCCAAACAATGTGCTTAAATTTAACACTTAAACTTGCCACAGGGCTGATTTGTGTACCTGGTGATTTTCATTTGGTCACCGAATATATCTTCCAGGCCAACAGGGAGACCAGTACAGTGATTTTATGTACTTTTTTTTTAATGTTTACATTAGTTTTCAAAATGGTTTTGCCTCCTAACCCTCCCATTATATGAAGCCTGTCACTTTGAAAGTCACAGACTGCAGACTGGTAAGTCCATCAGCTCTGTCATTATGTTCATTCACACCTTTAGTTAAACACGTGATCATCGCATAGTTTTCTTTCTTAACCTGAAGTTATTTCCAGTCTGAAAAGTTATTATTTTTTAAAATACATAAGTACATTCATTCACTTGCCAAACAACATTTTATGTCATTTTTCTTTCTAAGCGAATTCAAATTCCAGAACATACACTTATGTTGAACATTTTTTTCACTGACACTCTGTGCTTTTAAAATCAGTTCGCATTTGTGTGGTGCTGTGTTTTTTTGTTTGTTTGTTACTTTCTTTCTTTGTGTTTTTGCTTTGAAGATAACTCATGATCAAGATACATTGAAATTGAAATCTAGGTAAAATGTCTGAGCCCTCTTTCTGACATGTCATTCTTGCCCCCCAAATATACTCAGTGTTTAATGATGCAGAGTATGCTGACTTAACTAACATTTGGAAGAGATGCGGAAATCATTTCTATACCCATCTTACAAAAAAAAAAAAAGACGAAAGAAAAAAGTTGAAATCTTCAGGTCGTTTCTAAAATGTTGCCAAACCCATGCTGCTACTTTTAACAGAGAGAAATCTGAGTTTTAAAATTCAATGTTCTTTTCTGACAAAGAAAATGTGCATCTATCTGCCAAGCGCATGGTCTTATGAGCTTCAGATAGAAAAGTGGTGATGAGCTGTGACTGGTTCTGGTTCAGAACGATGCTAGACCCACATGCAAGTTCAAGGGTGGCGGGGACAGAGGGCGGGGCATGCTGAGGTGGTTGGTAACGCCTGGACTTTTCTGCAGGAGAAAAAGTTCTGCAGGATGACGAGTTCACCTGTGACCTCTTCCGCTTCCTGCAACTGCTTTGTGAGGGACACAACTCAGGTTTGTGAGACCGGAGACTGGAGGATGGTACCGAGGAGTAAGTGCTTTGCAGCCAGGAATGACTGGAGCCTGTTAGTTCCAATTATGCTTCATCCCTGGAGCCCTTGAGCATCATTCCATCTGAGCACTGGCACTGTGACGTCTTATGTGTTGCATTGCTGCCTCAGAGTCCTCCTTAGCTATTTCACTAGTTCTTATGAATTGCCCTTACGTTAGAGAAGGCAGGCTGTAGGTGAAGAAAGATGCAGATTAGATGGGTAGCCACAGACAGCTTTATTTCCTTTCTTTGTATCACTGCTGTTTAACTGAGGAACCTACTTCATAGTGGTACTGAGTGTAATGTGTTTCCACTCATTGTTCTGTATCTAGCTCTCTACCCGGCAAGTGCACCCAGAAAGACAGGAACAAGATCTTCATTTTCTCTTTGTCTCCCCAGCACTGAGCACAGCATTGAGGGACAAATGGCTATGGAATGAATAATTTAATTCCTGTCTCCTAATGGTTGGAAATCATTTCAGTCATTCCCAGCCCACAGCTCGAAGAGCCAGGGTTCAGGAAACAGGCGGCAGCGACCTCTTAGACAAAAATTAAATATGATGTTGTGGGAAGCACCTGGATGTGTTTATGGGGAGGTCAGTCACTTTTTATAGAAAATGTCAATTATTCCACATTAAAAGTATCAGATAAAACACTACCCTGAGCCACAGTGATTTTGCTGGAAACATCATTTACTCTGGGAGTTATTCAAAGAACTCATTGAAACTTTTGAATGAACTGGAATGACATCTTTTGATCTTACATAGATTTTCAGAATTACCTGAGAACCCAGACGGGCAACAATACAACTGTCAACATCATCATCTCCACTGTGGACTACCTGCTGAGAGTTCAGGTACCAGTTGCCTTACACGTTAGTGACAAATTAAAGGGGGTGGTCAGTTGAAATAATGGGGCAGGCTAATGTCTTAAGCTGACATGTTTTAATGTGTTTTGATTTATGAGTCATCAGAAGTCTTCAAGGTGTTTTGTGTTTGATCACAGTCTCCCATCAGGTCTTGGGGTGAGGCTGCCACTGTCACCTGTCTCTGATCCTGTCCGCACTCTGCATATTATTTTCTTCCTATAAGTGGGGATTTTGTTTTCCCAAAATGTTTTAGCTTGATGGCATGTTACATTTTATTTCCATTTTGTAAAGCACGTACATGGCACAGCTCTTCAGAAACTGGTAGATTAATGGGGGAAGAATATTCGAAACATTCTCAGGAATGGGAAGTAAAGGCTTTCAAACCACCTACCATATACTTAAATTGAATACTCTCAGGTTAGTTCTTTTCAGCCGCTCTAATATTTGAATTAATTTTAAAATTCAGCTTAACACTCAAATCGGTTAGAAATTTCTCTGATATTGTAGTAATCTTTTCCATGTTAATAAAGCTGAATCTATTGAACACACTATGTAACTTTTATCTCTCATTTTATTTATTAGAGAAGTCAGGTGTCATACTTTAAAAAATTTCACAAACAAACAAAAACCAAACAAACAAACAAACAAACAAAATTTCACAAACTTTCAGTTTTTCCCTTAATCTTTGAGTGGGTAAAGCACACCTCTTTACTTGAAACTCAATGGGGGAAACAAGTCATTTTTGAAGCAGATACATTTTTGAAGCGTTACTGATTTTTTTGTGTGTGATGTTTTTAAAAAGTCCTCTCTCAAAACCCAAATGTACTTTATACACAATAATATGATAAATTGTATTATTCATTTTGCTAAAATTTTTTCAGAATGTTAGAGTTGAAAACATCTTGTCTGGAAAGGTTGATCTTATTTAGATATTTGTTTATCATTGTCAGTATTTATAAGCAGTCCAACTGATTCATCAGGGGCCGTTATGTAAGCCTGGACATCCTAGAGTTCTCACCCAGGAAATGTTAACGACTTTGTTGGAGAAACAGGAGGCCAGATGTCTATAACCCAAAAAAATATTATTCCATGATTTACCTAATATCTGTGATCACATAGTGAGCATGTAACTGCTCAATGGATAAATATGCACTAATCTTATGAATCTTTATGTTTGTGAAGTTCAAGGTCATCAGAGAAAGAAAGTCATTTGTAAAGCTAAGTTTTCTGCTGCTTCTCTCCAGTTGATTATTTATACCTAGGGAAGATGTTGCCATATTGCATATTTAGGAAAATCATTGGGAATTGTATTTTCTTCACAGATATTTTTGTTTGCCTCCTAATTTGCTATTGAAAATGATTTCCTATTGTAGAGCCCAAAACTGGGCAGGTCAGTGATCGCTTCGGAATGCGCGTTAACCCACCATCTCTCTCTCACAGGAGTCCATTAGTGATTTCTACTGGTATTACTCTGGGAAGGACGTCATTGACGAGCAAGGGCAGAGGAATTTCTCCAAAGCAATCCAAGTAGCAAAGCAAGTGTTTAACACCCTGACAGAGTATATTCAGGTAACTCTTTAAACGTTCTTGCTGTTTGAAGAAAGACTCAACACTGGTTAGCGTGGGATTCCAGGGGAACATGCGATATGCCTAAAGTAGTCTCTTGACATCACCCCCCTGTCCAGTTGACCCCGGCCATAGATTATTAGCCAGTGATGACAATGAAAAGATTAGGCTGAGGTGCGAATTCATGCGGAATGAACATCTTTATCCTTTGGTCGACTGTCATGTCACTCACTTCTTGGAGGCGTGAACCACGGTGTCGGCTCTGGCATCTCCGGGGCCTGGCATACACATCAGCACCCAGTGGGTGTGAAGAAAGTAGCAGGGGAGGGAGTGCAGGACGTGATACCCTCTTTAGAGCGTTGCAGTAGAAACAGACAGAGACGAGTATTTAAAACCTCTGTGTGTGTAATTATATAATTACATAACATAATCATGTCAAATAGGTAAAATTTCAAATACTATAAAAAAATCTACCTTTTTATTGATTTGTTTTATATCCTTAGTAGGCTAACCTTCTTGTCTTAACCTGAAAATTTTGAAAAGATTTCGTAAAATTCTGTTTGTTTTCAAGCAGCAAAACGTTGCTATTTCCTAGAAGTCCAGTCTGCCCTCTTTCCTTTGTATCCTCTGTCTCTATGGACAGGATCACTCTGAATCATGACCACTGTGTTTGAAATGTACTAAATAGGAGGAAGGAATATATAGTTTGCTTCTTTAGACTAAACATAATCTTAGAGGGTGAGAAGTTAGGTAAGAATAACAGATTGTGTCCCCAGAGCTGGCATCCTCATAGGTGTTCGCAGGATGATTATTTGAGCCGATAAAGGACTAGTGACCAAGGGAGGTAGGCCATCGGTGAGGGCAGTGGGGCTGAACGGCTTGTCCCCACCCCCTCCAGGCTCATTGTGTCCTCTGGGTTTCTACCTGGGAAGAATCTCACTTTTTCTATTCTCTCCCTGGGTGGAGAAGAGGATACTTATTTCCACATTTCAAAATGGAAAAGCCACACTTAATAATTCTAGTCATTTTCTTTAAATCAAATAGAAGCGAGTTTTGAATCAGTTACAGCCCACTCATATTCCTATTTCCTTATCTTCGCTGGCTTCCATTATTGCCTTGATATTCTCATCCGCGTCTAGAAACATGTTATTCCCACAGTGTGAACTGGCCTGATTAAATGAGATTAACCGATGGCATGAGCAAGCCAGTGAATTTTACAGAAACAGTTAGGAAAATGGTTTCTCTATGACAAATGAAACTTAAATGCCATTTCAGCCAAGAGTGTGTCTTTCTTGGTTCCCAAAATAAGTCAGACTCCTGAATTGATATAAAAGTAGAAGCATCCCTTAACTTCTCATTATATGCAGCTCTTTATTCTAACTTGTTTATATAAACATTCAAGGGATAACCGGTAAAGGAGCATGGCTTATTATTGCTTGTTCATTTTATTCGCTTCTCATTACTCCATGTTTATATGACATATTTTGATATAAATTAATCACTTCTGAAACATATTTTAATAAAAAAAACTTATTTTGGAATAATTTTAGATACACAGAAAAGTTACAGGGCTTCCATATACAATTCATCCGGCTTTCCCTAATACTGATATTTCATGTAACCATGATGCATTTGTCAAAGCTAAGAAATTAATATCAGCACAATCCTATGAACTAAGTTACAGGCCTTATTCTGATTTGACCAGTTTCTTCATTAAAGTCCGTTTTCTGTCCCAGGAGCCAGTCCAGGTCACCACGTCACATTTAGTGAAATGTGTTTCAAAGAAGCTTGCCTTAGCCTTGTACGTTTGGGTTGTTATTGATGCTCCGAATAAAAGCTCGTCATTAGCTGCATGCTTATTTTGGACTGCCTTACAGATGACAGCACTGCATATTGCCTTTGATTCAAATTCTTGCTAATGAATTAGACAAGGGGGAAATCCAAAACCATCCAAATAAAGGTATTATCAGTAAGATTCCATTCCAGTTTTAATAATGTGGGGAGAAGAACTACTTTTGAGTAAGAGGACATTACATTGTCAGAGTTCCTAGAGTAAGGCCAGAAGGTGACTAGTGAGAGAAAAGAAAGTTCTATATGTTGTTGCCACAGTCTGAAAGTAAGGCCAGCCTGGCTTCTGACCGTTGCAAAGGTGTTCAATGGCACCGCACGGGTCGCGGGAAACAGGAGTGTGAGGTGGTGGGAAAGGCCGGTGTTCCGTTCTGATTAGTGAGCCGTGCTCAGTGGCACGTGGCCTAAGGTTGGACAAGTCCTGGGAAGGACTGTCTGTGTGCTTTAGGTTTAGAGGACAGGCAAGGACTTTGGCCGTGGGTTTGTGACTCTGTCGCATGTTTCAGAGACAATTCTTAGTCAACACTTGGTTGCAGAAGAACTTAAGCCTTTAAAATATTTTAACTTTTGGCTAAATCCTTAAATACCACATGAAGAACACGTTCCTGACTTGAAGAAAACTCACATTTATTTTCCTTGAAAAACCACGTTTATTTTCCTTGAAATGGCACTGTAGTGTCCACCTTATGGCCCCCTGCATTAGCACCCTACCACTGCTCCCGCTGTGGAGAGCACCACTGGCCTGGACTTGAACCACAGGGAAATCCTGAAAATCCTTTGCATTGAAACTGGAGTTACTGTAACAGCCAGACAGGACTAAAGTTCACTGTAAAATTACGACAGCCTGGTACACTGGATGGGCTGAATTTATTAACATATAAGTTAAAGTAACCTTCCCACCACTGATTCTTCCCCACCACTGTCTCTTCAGACTTGCTCTGTGGACCATTTCTTTGCTAGTCTTCAAATGGATCTTGTGCACTGGGCACTCTCAGATAAATAAAATTCCCTGTCAGTCTGTCACAGTACATAGTCTCATTTCAGTGATAGTACAGGGGCACAAGCACTTGACTCTGATCCACCTTAAAACTTCCCCTTCCCCTTGAACCTGACTTCCTGCTGGAAGGGCCTCAGGGCTGAGGGCTGGGAGTGAGATCTGGGCCTCTCTCCTGTCTCCCCACAGGGTTCCTCTGTTCTGCTTCCTGTACTGTCAGCCTCAGGCTTCTCGGGGGCTGGAACTGGGGGGGGCAGGAGAAGAATCAGGGAGGGAAGGGCTCCCTCCAGGGCACCTGTGAGTCAGGCCTTCACCCTGGGTTTCCCGTTGCAACCCTCTCACCCTCCAGTGCCTGGCAATGCCTCTCTTCCGGCCGAGGTTCCATTCCACAGACTGTGGATCTGGTGGCTCCACCTGCCTTGGAGTCACATGACCCTTTCAGATGGTCTTGTTGGGCAATATTAGAACAGAGTAGCTGCGTCCTGAGAAGCCCATATGAAAAACTTTTTTTTTTTTTCTTGGTCCCTCTCTGTCTCTCACATTTTCTAATACCAGACCTTGTGCATCAACTTCAGGAGACAGAAGCCAAGCACTCCGAGGGTCCTCTTGTCACCTCTGGTGGTAAGGGCTGGAGAAGCAGCCCCGCCCCTCTCCCACTGCAGCAGGGGTGGAGGTGGAGGTGCCTGCCAGGAGAGCTGTCTCCCGTGTCTCCCCTTTGCAACTTCAACCACGTTTGTGTCCTCAGGGTGGAAGACCTACTTAGTCTCCCCTTTCTCTGGGTACTGAGTCCATATTTTGCTTACGGAATACGGAGGCACTTGGCACTTCCTGTCTTTTGTTCTCAGCTGTAGAGTCTCGATAGAAGCTGAGGCAGGACCAAGTTCCATGTCAGCATCCCGTCAGTATCTTCAGTGTGGTCATCTCTTTCTGTCACTGTTTCTAGAGTAAAATCTCAAATGTTTTAATGCTCCCCCTAACTTAAACTCATTATGAGTCACTTGTCTAAAGGAATAAATAAATTAGAAGTTAAGAACTGTGATGTATATATGGTTTTTCTTTTGAAATAAGACACCTGCTATTTATTTTCCAGGTTGATGTGTGTGTGTTTGCAGAACTTTGAGAGTGTATAATTTTTCCTCAGAAAATAAAAATAGAAGTTGTCTCCATGGAAACATTCTGCAACACACACTCTACAGTGCCACATAAAGATCACTTCTGAAGTGCAAGCTTAGAGAGCGAAATTAGGTTCCGATTGCCTCAGATCCTGGGTTCATAAAATTAATAACTAATTAGTAATCTTTGAAAATCTCAGTGGTTGTATGATTGGTAAAACGCTTGCACAATTAAGAAAGCATTGAAGAGGACTTTTTCTCTCTCTGTGAATGCTTGATCCTGGTTACTATTTAGCAGTAGGAAGTATTGCTCTTTCATTTTAAGCAGAATCCCAGATTCTTTTTGCACAAGGTAATCCATGCTGATTGATTTGACTTAACAGCCAAAACAGCTGGATTCTACCCTTCTCCTCTAAATAGGAGAAACTAAAGGCAGACAAAATCGAAATCATTCACCATTCTTTTTTGTCCATGTTTTATTATTCATCCAGAAACAGAACATGAAAATCTGTTGAGAAATTTTTTTCCAGATTTATTATATTAAACATTTCAAAGATGAAGGTGCTTATCTCCTAAGGGCACTGTACCATTATCATCGCTGTGTATCTTTCATTTGAGGTTCCATCTTTTTAGGTGACGTGCTGGCAATAAGCTATGTTAAGTGTGTCCCTTTTACTATAAAGTTTATTTGGCAGTGAAGGCTCAGGAGTGATGCTGTCGGTCTGTTTCCTGCAGGGCCCCTGCACTGGGAACCAGCAGAGCCTGGCGCACAGCCGGCTCTGGGATGCAGTGGTTGGCTTCCTCCACGTCTTTGCCCACATGCAGATGAAGTTGTCTCAGGTAAATCAGCTACCTTCTGGTGTCCTAAATGACAGACGGGAGGCGTAATCACAGGCAGATCAAACACGTTCTCCTTCATCTGAATATTAGTGTTCTTAGATTACCTCTCGATACCTCTCTTACTCTACGTTAGAAAGCACTTTCTTCAATAAAAGAATTTGATGCAAACTGGGACTAGGTGGGAGCCATTATTTAAAACTGAGAAGAGGAGATAGTAAGGAATTAAATATATGGAGAAATAAAAGTGTAGTCCCCGAACACTGAACATTTCACAGACCTTCATAGACCCACTTCTGGGTAATTACTTTCCCTACAGATTCCCAGGAAAGGCTTGGCAATCTGCTCCCAGCCCCTGCTAAAGGGGAAGGGTTTTCTTATAGGGTGGAAACAAGCATCTATCTTCTCCTTAGATGGCTGGCACCCACTAACAAAATTTAATTTCATGAAAGTCGAAGAGGGAAAAGTAGCTATAAGGATAAGCCAATACAAAATAGACGTTCTGCCGTGTTTTAATGTTAATTGGGGAGCACATATTGAAAATATCAGCATGTTTTGCTCACCATTGTATCTATTTCATTTGACGCTAAGAGATGCATGAATAGAAAAATTCTTCCTGTAAATCTTGAGTAAACATGTCCCTTTGAAGGGGTGGTTTTTGCTAGATGTCCTGAGATCAGACATATCAGTCAGGGTGTGGGTACTTGCCAGATATCAGGTGGAGAAAAGAGTGCTGGATTTGAAGTCAGAAGAGCTTCACCCCTGTGTCCCAGGAGTGTGGGCTGCCCCCTCTCCTCCCTCAGTCTCCTTTCCTCCGTAACCTGAGGATCCTCACACCTGCTTCCGGCCTAAAGAAGGAGCGTGACATCAAAGATAATCAAAACTGGACACTGGTTAAAGGGGTGAATGCGATGAGTCCAGCTGTGTCTGCCAGCTGGTAGGTACCAGCTCAGGCTTCTACCCTCCCACAGAGATGGAGGACAGAGGCTCTGTCCTCAGGTGTTGGATGGGACAAACTCTACATTTTTTGGCGGCCTTGGTTTTCTTAGACAAGTACTCTAATGGGGGCCGTGGTCACCCCAGGAATGAGCCCTTGAACTGTCAGAAACAATGTGAGTGTTTTCTCAAGGCTTTATAGACCAAGGTTGGAGGCCTAGTTGAAAAGAAGACTCAGAGGAGTCTGGCTAGAGTTTGGTCAAGGAGACAATCTTTGTCACTGTCTAGTTATTGATGACTTCAGCTGATTAAGGAAATGTCATGATGCTTTCATCTAACCACTAATGATATTTTAATAAGTAAAGGAAACCAGTGTGAACCAAGAGAGTTCTCATTCTGATGCACCTCCATCACTTTGTTAACATCTGGCGCTTCCTCGCAGTTCACAGTTTGTAGACTTGGTCAAGGTAACAACCGTTTATAAAGAAAAAGTCCTATGTGTCCCGCAATGTAGAAATTTAGCTTCGTATGTAGCAAAATCCAGATGAATAAAATGATACCTGGTATAATTAAAAAATATATTTTTTTCATGGTGAGAAATCAAAAGCAAAAACAAAACAAAAACACCCGAAAATTTTAAGTAGAGAAATATCTGAGAATGTAATAAAAATGGTAAATAAGTATAGGTGCTCTTGTGCACATTTTTGGTTAGATTTACATAAGAAAAGTCTATACCTGTTCTTTCCAGGATGAGTTAATTTTTACAAAATAGATAGCATTTTTGTGTAGTAAGTTAGAAAAAAGTAAGGACAAGTACTGTATGGACTTTTCCAGGGACAGAAAGATGTCCATGTGCAGTCACTTGAGTCCTGCCGGGCTGGCCCTGGGGAACGTGTCACCGCCCTGTCCCTCTGTGCTCGTTAGACTGGCTCATGTCCGTGCAGACACTCGAGTTGGAATCAGTTGTGCATGCTCTTCAGTTCTGAGGTGTACATTTCTAATAAGCTACACGCCTGCACTTGGCCTTCCTTTCCTTCTGTCCCACCATGTCTACTGTTGATGGGGCAATGGGGAGACGTGTCATGTTCTGGCTGCCTCATTTTCTCATGATCTCAAATGCAATTTGTTAATATTTTCAGGATTCCAGTCAAATCGAACTCTTAAAAGAATTAATGGACCTTCAGAAGGACATGGTGGTCATGTTGCTGTCCATGTTAGAAGGTAGCTTTGACTTATATTTATGTGTTTATATTATACATATTCAACTCCCTTTTGTTCTTTTTTTTAAAGGCTTAGTATGTCAGCATGCTGCAAAGAGTAAAATTGCCACAGTGAGATTTGACAGATGCTTGGGTTTATTGGGGGCTTTATGACTCTTAAGTTAGTTTTTTTTTTTTTTTAAAGAGAACACACTCCAGAAAGACTGTATATAAAGATTTCATTTGTTTGTTTGTGAGTAATCAGCAGGGATCACAGACATTTAGATAAACACCAACCACATGAATTGCTGCACTGAGCTGGCCTCGTTATAAACCCTGTGGGTGGCAGCCCCGTCCTCCCACCACATGCCCCTCTCAGTTGTTATTTCCTCTTCTCTTTCCACTTCTTTTTCTGTTATTACACTGCTCCTCTGTGTCTGGCAGTAAATACAGTGGCTGAGAGCCTGGTTCACACATTCGCAGCCAATGAGCGGGACCCACGGACAAGTCTCATTCCCACCGTTCAGTTTCCTCTGTGAAAAGGAGATAGTGATAAACTGACATGAAAATTCAGGGAATTCAGTGAATATGACCACAGCAACCAAACAACATTTGCTATTATGTAACCTATCCTTTTTTCCTAAACCTTCCTACTTTCTCCTTCCTAGTCCACCCTGCATTGTGAAACTGCACTTTGATTAACTCAGGCAAGAGTCTTGCCCTGTGCGGGGACTTCAGAGATGCACCGTTTGCTTAAAACCCTTTGTTAGCGGCCGCTGCATACCCTCTGAACACAGGGTTCTTTCACCATGACCTCAGTTCTAGTTCCAGTCTAAAAAACAAACATAAGAACAACAGCAGCAGCCGTAGCCATGACAACTTAAAATTAACCTCTTGTATTGATCCGGCTCCTGGTTTAAGTACTGATTTCATCCTCATACCAGGCTCTGGAGTTTGATAGCATCATTATTACTGTTTTGCAAAAGAGGAGACTGGGGTGCAGAGAGGCTGAGAGCCCTGCCAGGGTGCCCGGAGGGTAGATGGTGGGGCCTGGAATCCAGCCCACAGTGTGGCTCCTGAGCCTACTCTCATAACCACGTTGGTCACTGCCTCAGAGGTGGACACAGCAGGCCCCACGACACACATCCTTCTTCTGTCATCAGTCTTATTACAGAGCATATTCTGTTCAAGGAGTGAAAGCATTCTGTGGCTATAATTTAGCATGCTATCGAATTTTCTCAAGCCTATCAGTAATCTGCCATTTTCTAACTATAAACCTTCTGGACCATGTAGGAAAATGCAGGGCGGTGCTTTACATTTCCAATCAGAAAGAGCATGTAACTTGCTCTCAGGGGATCCCTTTAAAGTCTGGCACTCACCCTCAATACCATGTCACAATGGGGACATTGATTTAGCCTTGCTAAGCCTCAGTTTCCTTGACGGTAAAATCAGAATTAATAAGAAGTACCTGCCTTACAGACAAGTGAACATTCAATCAGATGTTGTCTGTAAGGAGTGATTTTTCAACCATAAAAGATTATGCAAAGGCTCATTGTTATTATTAATAATGAGACTGTATTTCAGGTCCGCTTCTGGATATACACGTTTGTCCATTTTCTTTTCCCTAAAACCTATTGCTTCTTTGATCCATTTAAGGAAGAAAAAACAAGTCAGCTTTTGTTCAAATATTGTTTTACGTGTGTTAGTCTAATTCCTTTGTAAATGTGCTTCTGCATATGGTTGTGTAATCACAGTAATTATTCAACAAGGAGCCACCCTTGACGCAGACGTTGTATAAGGTCTACATTGTTATTTTCCCTGTAGACACTCCTTTTTATTGATCAGGAGTTCATCCTGAATGAGTGCCATTCTCTCCCACCAGGCAACGTGGTGAATGGAACCATCGGCAAGCAGATGGTCGACATGCTCGTGGAGTCTTCCAACAACGTGGAGATGATTCTCAAGTTCTTTGACATGTTCTTGAAACTGAAGGACTTGACCTCGTCTGACACATTTAAGGAATATGACCCCGATGGCAAGGGCGTCATTTCCAAGAGGGAGTTCCACAAAGTGATGGAGAGCCACAAGCACTACACGCAGTCGGAGACCGAGTTCCTGCTGTCCTGCGCCGAGACCGATGAAAACGAGACCCTCGACTATGAAGAGTTTGTCAAGCGGTTCCACGAGCCTGCGAAGGACATCGGCTTCAACGTGGCCGTCCTTCTGACCAACCTGTCGGAGCACATGCCCAACGACACGCGGCTGCAGACGTTCCTGGAGCTGGCGGAGAGCGTGCTCAACTACTTCCAGCCCTTCCTGGGCCGCATCGAGATCATGGGGAGCGCCAAACGCATCGAGAGGGTGTATTTCGAAATCAGCGAGTCCAGCCGGACGCAGTGGGAGAAGCCCCAGGTCAAGGAGTCCAAGAGGCAGTTCATCTTCGACGTGGTCAACGAGGGCGGCGAGAAGGAGAAGATGGAGCTCTTCGTGAACTTCTGCGAGGACACCATATTTGAGATGCAGCTGGCAGCCCAGATCTCAGAGTCGGACTTGAACGAGAGGTCAGCCAACAAAGAGGAGAGCGAGAAGGAGAAGCCGGAGGAGCAGGGCCCGAGAATGGGCTTCTTCTCTATTCTGACCGTCAAGTCGGCCCTGCTCGCACTCAGGTACAATATCCTGACCCTCCTGCGGACACTCAGCCTAAAGAGCCTGAAGAAGCAGATGAAGAAGGTGAAGAAGATGACGGTGAAGGACATGGTCACGGCCCTCTTCTCCTCCTACTGGAGCATTGTGATGAGCCTCGTGCACTTCGTCACCAGTGTGCTCAGAGGCTTTTCCCGCATCGTCTGCAGCCTGCTCCTGGGAGGCAGCCTGGTGGAAGGTGCCAAGAAGATCAAAGTCGCTGAGCTCCTGGCCAACATGCCGGACCCCACGCAGGATGAAGTGAGGGGAGATGGGGAGGAGGGCGAGAGGAAGCCCCTGGAAGCCGCCCTGCCCTCGGAGGATCTCACGGACCTGAAGGACCTGACGGAGGAGAGCGACCTCCTGTCGGACATATTCGGCTTAGATCTGAAGCGGGAAGGAGGCCAGTACAAGCTTATCCCTCATAACCCAAATGCTGGCCTCAGTGACCTCATAAGCAACCCTGTTCCCAGCCCTGAGGTGCAGGAGAAATCTCAGGTAACGTCCCTCCAAGTCCCAGTGGCTCTGTGGATGCCAGTGAGCTCAGCATGTGAGCCTCACGTCAGCGTCTGCGCAGGGGCCATAGGGTGCTCAACACGTGACTTGCGCTTCCAGGAGAAGTGGCTTTTTGGCCAGCCGAGCTAGCCTCTGGAAGAGTCTTTACAAATTACTGAATTATTTTAAGCTCCTAGGTGTAAGCTCAGGTATCCACCCTGACAACATTAGTTAATTAAATAATTCCTTCCATAAAGATTTTATGAGTATTCACCACGTGTCTGACACATGGAATATCATAGGGAGGTAAGGGAAATATAAGGTGTAGTCAGGGCTTTTGAGTTGCCTTAAGGAATGATTAGAAAGGGAAAACTAACCCTTATGGAAAAACTAGAAAACTATTAAGTGCTAAATGGCAGAGGCCGGAGACAGTAGAAGTCGCATATTTTCTAGGGAATGCAAGTGTCAGAATGGTTGGAGTAGCAGCTAGATCAGAGGTAAGGACTGGGCCTTAGTTGGACTGAAAGATGAGTAAGATTTGAGTTGGGGAATGAGGTAAAGAAGGGTATTTCTGAAGGGACGAGAGACAGTGGGGCGCAGGCGCTGAGGAAGTCTGCACCTACTGTGTATGGACGGTCAGTGTGCCCAAGGGGAGGTGCAGAAACCCTAGTGAGAGCCCGTGTGACACTTTATCCCAACATAGGCAGATGGTTGTGGATAGGTCACAATTAGACATGTGGCCCCAGGGCTCCCTAAACTCATTCAAAGATGATGTGTAACCTGCTTTTCTTTTCCCCGTTGACTCATTCAAGGAACAAAAGGTGAAAGAGGAAGAAAAGGAAGAAAAAGAAGAAAAGTCGGAACCCGAAAAAGCTGAGTAGGTGTAGTTTCTCTATACTTTCCTTGTTTCACGTGTGTTGTCTCTTCAGTGGACAGAATGGAGACTGTCCACATGTGTCATCTCCATGGACAGGCTCTGCATGAGGATCTCAGCCCTGGGGGGATAAGTACAGACACCTGCCTGCCCGCCGGGCTGCCTGTCCAGTCGCCCGTGCCATCCGGGTTCTGTCTGTGTTTCTGTCTCAGCAGAAAAGCCCCCAGTGCCTCCATGGAAGGCTCTCCACAGACGACTGATGGTTGCAGTTCTGCTTTAAAACTGTGCATGCATTTATGTCCTTGGAAAGAGGGGAGGAGACCCACATACTGAATGTCATTGCCGAGAGTCCTTGAGGAGACCCTCAAAGCTGATCCTAGGGCCACATGCATGAAAATTGCTGGAGAGTTTGTTAAAAACACAGATTCCTGGGTGCTGCCACAGATGCCTGTTTGACAGGTCTGGTGTGGGGCCCCGGAATCTGCGTTTTCACCAACACCCCTGGAGCACAGTTGTAAGGGCAGCAATAAGAAATAAAGAGCTAGGGGCTGGCACGTTGGTTAAGAGCTGGCTTGGGACACCAGAGGGCCCCGGTTC